CGGGCAAATAAAAATAAACTATAAAAACAACAACAATTGTTAAAATAGATATAATTATCAATAATATAATATTGGTTTATTTAATTATAAATAATCATAAAATTGTTAAAAAAACAAAAACACAATCATAATTAGAATTTTTTATTCCAATTTTCCTAAAATTGCATATTTAATAACATCAAGAGTATTTTTTTATATTAAAACATTGAAACACGTATTTTTGAGAATATAAATGATCTTTATGATAAAAAAATAATATATAACATATTTGAAAAATGATAAATTTTTCAAAAAAATAATAAATGATTTAATAAAGTATAACAAAATATAATAAAATTAACAATTTTAACAATACTACAAAAAATGAAAATTGTCTAAAATATAAATAGAGAAAAAGTTTAAATTTAATTATTTAATTAATTTTTGAATCATACCTCGTTACCATTTATTGCCCAAATAAAACAATACTTCCCAAAAATACTTAAAAATGACAAATATAAACATTTATTCAATGCTTTTGGGTCGTTTTTTATGTAAACTTTTTTGTCTTTTTATAAATATAATATATTGATAATATAATTTGATTGTTAATAATTTATAAAAGATTATTTTTTCGCCATAAAAAGCAAATTTAAAAACGAAATAATAATTAAAAACTTACAATTGTTCATGTTAAAAATTAAGGTTTTATCCCATAATTTACTGTAATTTGATACTTATTTTTTTAATAATAATACACAATTATTAATTTAAATAGATTTTTAATTAATAAATAACTATTAAAATCATACTATTGATATTTGCTTAAAATAATAACAACTATACAAATGATGACAAATATAGTTTGTAATTATAAATTAAATATGCTATTGTAGAAAAGTATATCAGAATCACATCATATACAAATGATTAAAAAGATATTTTCTTTAACATATCGAATTAATATTGGATAAACAAAGATATAATTAATTAACGGCAAATTTATTTGTTTGGTTATTAAAAAACATTTTATTGATCTATTTTTATAAATCGAACTTAATCATGAT